CATTTGATAAAGAAAAGTACGCAACTGTGTCATTAACTCACAGGTTAATTAAAAACTTTTTAAAGGCGTTGAAAATTAGTGGACAAGATTCATATATTTTTTAGTTACAGTTAAAAACTATATTTGAAATCGAATTAATATTGACAAAAGCATTTGCTTTAGGTCCTAGATTTTGAGCGTTGAAATTTTTATCCGATGAATTAAAAAACTGTTCGGAAACATTTTGAAATTTTATTGTGTTTTATTCTCCTAATATTATAAACTATATAGATATATAACTATATATATTTTCTATTTCGTCATACAATATTGGAAAAATAAAAACGATATCGATAGTTAAAATGATTTCGTAGCTAACACTAATTTACACTGCATTATTAATCGATTAAAAATTTACCTTGGAATTTCGTATTTGTCCTTCTACCCCCTACAAAAAAAAATTAGACCTTAATTGGGAATAACCAATTGGTTGTAAAATATATTTAAACTATAATCATTAGAATATATTGAAGTATTTAACTTTATATAATACTAAAGCAATATACTTTAAACTAGGCGATTAAAAATATTTTAAATAAATATATTTCTTGTACAATAAATTTGAAAAATGTTAAGGATTACCTTTTTATGGCCTTAAATATTATTTCGATTTTTCTGTGAATGAACGGCGATTTTAATCAGCGATAAATAATATCCAACTTGAACCATTGTTAGTTCGGCATAAAGCTGCATGATTTGATGATTTGTTGATTTTCCTTATTTCTCATAATTTATTGGATTTTTTTTTTTTTTTAGAGCTTCTAGTATAAACTATGATAGCTTAAAATTTATCATACATAGTGATGCAATTTGTGAAATAAAATATATGGGTAAATATAACTAATAACAAGACCGGCATAAGGGGTGTGCAGAAGGCTGGAACCCAATTCAGCACGATTGATCCTTTTCGTAACCCGATTGAGCACGGTTGCAATCAAACAATAGGAACCAAAAAAGAACCCAAAAACCACACGATTGAGCACAAAAATGGGTGCGACGTTGACGCTTTGTACCATAGAATATTATTCGGTGCACCGTATTACTGCGCATTCAAGATTTTTTTATAACTATTATGTAATTCAATTTTATATTTGTAACGATTATTTCATAATTTAAAATTTTTACCGCTCAGGTTTCCTAAAAGAAATAACTCTCTAGTAGAAAAACGACAAGACACCTTTTTTTTCGCATTTTTTATATTGTTGGTGTATAGAGCTCGGTACGTCAATATTATTACTATAAAATAAAATACATTTGAATATAATTATAAATAAAATTTTTTTTTTGGATTTTCATCACATGTTATAATTACATTTTTTTTTTTTGCTAAAAAATAACACTCATACAATTGTTATGAAAAAGGTAAAAATTTAAATTTTTTTCCCTAAATACTTATTTCCATTTTTTAATAAGTATTTAAGTAGGTTGTCAGCATTTTTAAATTCAGAGTTCTCACGATAAGCTTTTATAGCGGTATTTTTAACACACGGTAAAGTCAAGGTACACGCGACAGTTTTCGAAATATCGCGGCATAATTTTACTACGTGACACTCGTGTGTTGTGCTCTATTCATCTTAATGTACTTTAACAAAACGCGCAGTACAATTATGGCGTGGTAAAATAACGCTAGTGTGTTGCCAGCCTAATAGTTAGTTTTCAATCTGACAACGTTATATACAATATTTTTTTTTACCGTGCTCAAACGGGTCGTCAAAAAGGTCGGCCGATAACGACCGTGCTCAATCGGTTATCACCGGTGCAGAAGTACTTTCTTCGTACTAATCGTACGGGGCCTCGCATTTTTGGATCGACTCTTGGGCCTCGTGCTTCTATTTTGTAGTATATTCAGCTTCGGGGCCTTGCGTTTATATTTGCACAGGGCCTTGCAAATCATAGCACTGACTAATAACCAGTGAAGGTCGTAAAAAAAAAGTATAACGAGAAAATCATAATGCTGTGTAATTATAAACTAGATTATAATACGTAATAATATAAATTATATACGTTTTTTATAAATGTAATATATATATATAAGATAATAGAAAGTGAGATTTGAACAAAAAAAATATTAATTTTAGTATTTTTGACGATGAGTATATTTATAACAGAGAAAAGGAGTGTAATTAGTGGACTGATTAAGGCATTCAGATTAGAGATTAATTGGGGAAAAATACTTTAAGATATATTCCGTAGATGTATTTTAATTAATTGTAGCTTCCGAATAAGTTTTAGTCTTAGATTAGTTATGGTAGTCAGTGGCCTTGGTTGATGGAATCTTTATACAACATTTCTGTGAAAGACGTGCATTCTCTTTAATTTTATATGGGGTTCAATGAACAAAGGGCACATTTAGTAGGAATATCTCGATCTATAGTACACTCATAGGTATAATAATTTTGACTATGACTGGCATTTATGACATTGCGGAGTGCCTTTTTATATAGATTTTCGATTTTAACTGTAGTGTTAAGTAAAGACGTGACATTTAGGATTTTTGTATTATTATCGTCCGGAGACACCTTCAAAAAAAAAAAAATAACAGGAGAGGACGTTTGTTTTTGTCCTAGACATTTATCAGAAATAAAATAATCTAATTTACCATTAACAATCAAATATAATATGATTTTGAAAAAATCACATTATTTTAAAGAAAGGTAAGGGATTTTATCGATCTTGTGTAAAAATTTAAAAACAACATTATAAGAAATATTTATCTAAATCACCTTAAATGTGGCTATAAAAAAATAAAATAGTTTATTTGAGATACAATAAATTGTAGGTGTACCATAATTGAACAATTGAACTATGTGTTGGAAAGATACAAATATATTAAAATCAAATAGCTAATATTCACTTTGATGCACCATATTAAAATGCTTGACAATGATTTACAAATACATTTTAAAATGCAGATGTTTGATAAAATAATTGTATTACATTACAATAATGTTAAAATTATTTTAATATTATAGATACTATAAAATATTTTTGTAGGTAACGTAGTGATATATTGAACTCTTTTCAAAAAACATAAATTTCTATATTAAAATATTTTAAAGTAAAGCATATTTCTTACAAACAAATAAAGTCACTTTATAAATTAATCGTATTTAATTTTTATTTTCGGTAAATTTATTTTAATTATTTAAAGTTTAAAATATTTAATAATTTAATTTTTTTTATTTTATATCATGCTTTATTGGCCTATATCATGTAGACGTATACATTTTATACATATCTACACCTATCTACTTTGTCTATATAGCGCATATATAATATCACAATGTTCTAAATAGAAACGGATTAATTAGTTAAAATAATTAAGTTTTTGTTTGTGTTTAAAGTTTAGAAATAAATAAATAATTTATCATTCATAATATTTTGCCTTATTCCCCACTAACGATTAACGTAACGCACCAAATGTTTGCCTACTCAAGTTCCTTAAGTGTAAAAATAAAATCAATTTTTTTTTATCAATCAGTGCATGAATATTTCTGTAGTTAAAACTTTAATTAAATATTAACTAAATAAATAAAAATAATCACAATTCTGAAAATGAAATAATAGAATATGTAATAATTTCTTTGAAATGTATAACATATTCACATAAATTATAAAATATATATTATCAAATATGTCATCTAAAATTACATTAATATTACTTCAACTCATTCAGATAAATACTCCACAATACAAGGGCGTATTGGAGGGGGGCATTCGCCCTTCCCTATGGCTCGTATTTTTTTGAATATAATCCATTGTTTTATTTAAAAAAGGTAATGTATAAATAATTAAGAATATAAATTACTAGTCTATCATTATAATAGGAACATGAGCTGTAGGTAATGAACTGTAAATTATTTTTAAGTTTGTATTGAAGAAAAATTAGTTTTGCTCCCTCTATGGTATCAACTCAAATAAGCCCTTCCCCCAATATGCCTGTAAATTTTCAAAATTATGAAATTCAATCAATTCATCAATACTCATTTTAATAAAAATATAAATGAAATATGTAAATAAAATAATAGAAGTATTATAATACATTATAAGACTAAAATGAAAAATTCAATAATTTAATAAAGTTCCTGAACTATTTTTTTGAAGCATACACTAAATAATAGTTGAAGACAGTACACATTTAAAAAATAATTGGCAAACATTGTCACTTTTTCATTATTCATAATGTGAGGGAAATATAAAATATTAGATATCAATCGGAATTCCATGAACTTACAGACTAGAAATTGTAGAGGTGAAATTATTAATTAAAATAATAAATAATATAATTTGCTGTTAAATCAATATTTGTATAAGATTGCAATCGTTCACCATATTTTATTAGGTTGTTGATCTTGCTGGAGCGATGCTACGGTGTGACTTTGAGAAAGTGTTTACAATGACTTACCAATAGTATTTAGATCCCTCAGGTGAAAAATGTATGTTTAAATAATAGGGTACAAACCTTTGTAAGTTTCGCATTACTATGCAAATTGTTCGTATTTTTAAGTATAGTATTTACGTATCGTAGCGGATATTATTATTAGTAGTAGCATGTAGGCATGTGTTTACACATATAAGTACGCACTGTATTCTATATAGTATTTTCGTTGTTATTTATGATTTTTCTATATCCATATAGGTAAGTACACCAAGTCCTCGGGGATAATCATGTTTCGATGATTGTAATGAAAATAATAAATATTGAGCTATATCAGTCCGCAGGCTATTACTACAGGACTCTTTGTAAACGGTAAAACAAATTAAAAACAGGATGTCCTGAAATATGATACGTGCAAATATAATAGTTAAAAAACTCGCGTCGTAGATACCTACGCAATACAATTTTTTAATGAAAATAATTGTTTTTATATTTAAACTAAAATTGTTTTTAAACTGCACACAATAAAATTAATGAAAACACTAACGATAAAAACAAAAATATATTTTATTTAGTTGTTCTCGAATAATTTGAATAAATCATCAATTGAAGAATAAAATAATTATTTTTACAATTAAACCAATTAATAATATTTTAGTCTTTGAATTCGTTTTCACTTCTTTCTTTCAACTCTACATCCATGGGGTCATTTTTCATGGCCATTGTTGATACATTTGAATATGGCGAAATTCCATTGAATGTCTAAAAATTACAACATGACTATACAACTATGACTAAATTATATACATATATATATATTTTTAGTTGTGATTATTATTATTATTTCAGATATAATACATATTTCATATTGTTTTATAATCCTATTTAAAGATGAAAGTGCTATGTTAAGTATATTGTAATATGAATTTCTAAGTAGTTTTTCAAGGACTTGAAAAACTGACGAAAATATTTTAGGTAAATTTCATGTCAGTATTTAATTGATCGTATTTCAACGATATTATTTATGTGATGACTACTGAATTATATACAATTACTTTTTGAATTTTAAACTAACTTGTGATTGAGACAAATTTTCCACAGCGGTATAAGTAGGGTTGTTAAACGAAGATTTACGTTGCAAAGGTTTGTTTTCGGTGATTAGTTCTACATCATTGGTTTCATTTTCAAATTTAACGAATACAGGTCCTACAATAGTAGATTCGGAGCTGAATAGTAACAAAAACCTGTAATAAAAAAATTGATTGTTTATTAGTATATGTATATATATATTTGATTATGAAATGTACACAATATTATATTATACACGGTACTTGTCTCCATTAAAATATAATGTTTGTTTATTAAAATATATAATTAACTAGCTGTCCCGGCACGGCGTTGCCCGCGTATTAGTTTGATTTTTGGCATTTTCGTAGGCCGTGTATTATTGTTATTATGTATGAGAAAATATTATTTTTATTTTTAGTTTATTAGTGGTTTCGGAGATCATAGCGTATAGTAAACTATTGAGTATGTCAAATTAATATTCATATAATGTCACTAATAATAACCCACGAGATTAAGGATAGAACATAGTCTGCAATGAATGAGTAAATTACAAAGTTTTTTATTGATAACATAAACAAATATAATTTTTTTAAATGATGAATGATGTACATTTTAAACTATTTAATGACTTATATTAATTTGAATTATAACAATTTATATAATTATAATAATAATTTTAGTTTAACTAAGAACTAATTGGTGTACAATATTTTTGATTAATCTGTCTTTTGCTAGTTTAAATAGATTTGATGGCTTCCCCACACGTGGGCATTCAACATGTAGTTGCTCATGGGAAAAACATGGATTTTCCAAGTCCAAGCCACAAATGGACATTGTTTGTCTTTGAGACTTATTTATGGTCATTGCGAATGCCAAACGAATAGAAAATTTAAGTCTTTTAATTAGTATAGGAGATTCTGATAGAATCATTGAAATACTTGGCAAATGCACAATTTCTCCTTTAAACTTCCCAGTCAAAATAGTTGCTTCAAGAACATTTCCGGTGATCCTTTTGATTACTAAACGTGTACCGTTGTATAGTCTAGGTGGATACAAATCATGCAAAAGAATAATTGGTGAACCAATCTTCAATCGAAGATTGTGTGGTAGCTGGTATATCCAAAGACTTTAAAAATTCAGTGGGAAAATTTACTGTTTCGTTTTCATCGGCAGTAGTGTCAATTGATTTAAAAGACATCAAATCATATGGTAATATCTGTTGTATCTGAAAGTTAATTTTATCAACATCATCATTTTTTTTATGATAAAATAGCACGTTGACTTAGTCAATTTTGATCCAAGTAATTATTCAGTATATCCGGGAAGACATTCTTAATTAGTTCATTTTTTTTCTGCACTACATTGCAAAAATTGTCTGGCAATTTGATGCATTGTGTATTTGAATGCAGTTTTATTTTACTGTTTCCAATATCCAGCAATTGTTGAAAAAATATTTTTGCCGATGGATCATTTTGTAATTGTACTCGCATGTTAATGGTCAATTGAAGTGTTTCGATATTTCGCCATAAAAACGATTGTTTTAAACATGCGTTAATCTCATAGGCATAAGTAGAGCAAGGAATGACTGACAATGTCTGTTGGAAATCACTAGATAGTAGTAGGACAGTACCACCAAAAAGTTTATCGTTGTCGATTAAATCTTGCATCGTTTTATGTGATTCTTCAAGTGAATGATTATGAACCATGGTACATTTATACCAGATTATGATTGAATTCTTTTGCAACACTGAAGCTATTTCGCTTGTTTTTTTTAATGTTACACATTGTGTTTGGTTTGTAATGAATGTCTAATGGCAGCTTGAATGCTGAATATGCCGTTCGTCCACCATCTAACAAAGTGGCAGCAATGACTGATGAAGCAATTGCCAATGCAATTTTCTGTTGCGACCGTATCTTTGCAAGGATCAACGATATTAAAAATGTCTTTTCGATTCCACCTGGCGCAGCCCAAAAAAAAAAGTCACCTTGTTCAGCATCAACAGTTAGAATAATCCGATTATAAATTATTTTTTGTTCAGCCGTCAGTAATGGTTCTTTATTCTCAATAATTATAGCTAAGTTAACATCGTTATACTGTTTTTCTCGTTGTAAATCATTGTTAACTAAGTCAGTGGCCGAGCGAACAGGTGAATATACTATAATGATTAAGTGGCAAATTAGAAATTAAAATACATAGACCCTCGATCAAAATTAGTGCTTCATTATACATCTGCTGTGTGAAATCTATATTTGAACATTGGTTTGTTTGTTTAACTTGGTGCAGTACGTCTTCAGTCATATAGTTTTTATATTTGTCCCACAGAGTTGATGATTCGGCTGGATTACATGTCGTCAAAATAATTGCAAACTGTCGAATACTATTTGGCGTTAATGTCAACGCTGCATCAGCAAGTGTCAGGTCCCAGTGATTGTTGTCTTTCAGCAATTTCAACTCATGACACGCATCTTGATAAGTATTGAACACTCGACCATTAACTGTTCGCAAAAATTCAAAAGACGTTGGTCCGGGAACATTCACCATCAACAAACATAAAAAGAAGCATTCACGTTGTTTTGGATGTACTGTGTAAAGTCTTCCATGAGCCTTGGCTTTGAATATGCCCGCGATTGAAGAATGTGGTTCTTCTTGTTTATGTGGATTTCATTTTTTACCTGATTTGTTCCATACAAAGTAGCGTGGAACATCAGAATATAATAATGTTTTTGCAAATTGACCGAAAACATCAGATTTTCGACACAATGCGAAAAATTCAGTTAGTGTCGTTTTTGATGGCTCCAGTGCTCTTTGGAAAACATTTTCTTCAGTGAAATAAACACGTTGAACGTTTTCAAGATGTGCTATATGATACTGGACAGAAGGATCTCTTTCGTGTATGGAAAAACTAAAATTATGCCAGATTGCTTCGTTACTGCTGATGTATCTACCCATCTGGTGTCGTGCTATTTCATCATTTTTATTTATTTTTTGAACTTCAAATATGGCTAAATTACTGCATTTATTAATGTATTTGTGAATATACTTAATGGAATACATAGAACTGTAAAACTCGACATTAATATGAGCATTATACGTTTTTGAAAGGAATGGTGAGTATGATACCACCCATTGATTGTCAATTTCAACTTGATTTGTAAAATTTAATATTCGCATTGTGAAAGTGTGGCTACCATTTCTGCGTTTCTTCGGCGACACAATGGATACCTATCGATATTCGTAATAGTATCATTTGTATATTGCTTTGGGAAACGTTTCTTACATTTTCCATTTTCCATGCATGGCGATGTCATGTTAAAAGCACCACATGGTCCATGGATCATGTGACTGATAACAATATCAAATAATTCTTGATCAATTAATGGATCTGGAATTTCTGCTGAAATTATTTGATCAATTTCTTCTGGACAGATTTTTGTTTAAAGCCAAATCAAAATGTGAGCATGAGGCAAGCCACGCTTTTGCCACTCAATCGATTATAGTCATCAACGTGTTTTACCGAAAACCGAATATTTAACAATTAAATCAACCAAGGATTTTAACTTTTGTTTAAATACACGTGCAATGATATAATGACGATGTATTGACTGTTGATCTGGTAAGAGCAAATTTTGTATTTCCTTCCAATTTGGATTACATGTAGAAGTAATGAATAAATCTGGACGACCATAATTTCGTATGTAAGTCATCGCATCTTGTATGTATTCCAGCATATTCCGTGGACGGCCGATATAGCTTGAAGGTAAAATAAATGCATTACCAATATCATTGATGTATAAATTTTCATCGATGTTTCCGATAACAGCATCTCGTAAGTGGTTGTATTCCTCCGATCGTAATTTAGCCTAGTTGAATCGAATAAATCGCAAACGTTCGCTTTCGATCTTAGCGTACATATCCACAACGTATTGATGGTACAGCTGACGATATCGAAGGTTATAGTTGTCTTGATGAAGTCTAATCATCAATCGGTGCGCGTAATAGCGCATTGAACTAACTTTTTTATTAGTTTCATTACCTGTAAAAATAAGAAATTAAATATTTCTTACAAAATTTAAATAATTAAACACTGAATTGATCAGTAACTGGATCATACTGTTTGATGTTGATGTGATATTCATTCTATCCTTGCCAGAATATCAATCGATATTTTAGTGCGTCATACAAATGGTGTAGGTCCGAAATTATACTCACAGTGCTGTTTCGACGTGTGATTTTGATGGCTCTGTTGTCAACTTGATCACCGACCATAATAACAACAACTTCGTCTACAGTAGGCGCATTGAACCTGCTAGTATTCTTTAATGATAATTTGATAGTCATAATTTCTTGATTGCGGTGACACTCTTTTAAAAAATTGAATAAGTTGATTACAACTTTCGAAAAAAAATTCCAACAATTCTACAATTGCTCTCTCTTCTGCTTGTTCGATAAAATTATACTGGCACCGAGCTGTCACGCGTTTTTCATAACTGCCCATAAAATAGATTTGGAGAAACTTCGGGTCATCATTAGGCATCAGTAACAACGACCCAATCATATGATACACCTAGCCTTGTATTTTGAATGTGGTTTCAAAATTACGTCCATCATGTTTGAGATCGCAAATTTCGATTGCCCTGAATGACGACATTTGAAAGCAGGAATTAAATTTCTGTGTCTTGCGCAAAAACAATTTTGAATCATATGATTTTCCAGCAAGAAAAGATTGTAAAGTTTCCGGTGGAGTGGAAAGAGGTAACAGTACCACTTTTTCTGATGCGCAACACATGCCAGTTGCTTCATTGCGGAATTTTATCGCCTGACAATATTGACATACTTTGTTCATTGCACTAATTGCAATAATAGAATGTGCAGAGTAATTAATGTCTGGAGCATATTCGAACGTAAGATGAAAAAATGATACACGGGTTAATATGCGGTTGGTATGCTGTCTTTCTCGCTCTCGGGCTCTAAATGTGTATATATACTGTTCACGCACTGCTTTTGTTCTCAAAGTTTTTTGTCACAAACGTTCATCATGTTGCTCTCGAGATTCTTGAGCATGACTCTGTGCTGCCCCGATTTTTTGAGCTGCGTTTCTTGCAACAATTTCTTCAGCCGATTCATGATGTCTTACAACACGTTTGCGTCTTGCCTCAATGCTATTCGCATTAAACTTTTTTGGCGGCATTTTACTAAAAACAAATAAGAATAATAAAATGTATACTTACACGTTTAAAAAAAAAAAAAAAAACCAACTCCAAAAGCACCAAGGATCCCTTCCTCGTCTCTTCGAGGTAAAATTTCATACGGAACGCTGCTAAGCACACGGGAAATGGAGGCGTAGCCATAACCGCGAACGTCTAACTCCAAAAATGCGGATAATAAATAAAATGTTGTACTTACTTCATTTAAATGGTTCAAGGTCTTCAATAGAAACTTCACTACACTTACACTTCACTGAATAATACTGATGAATACGACGTACCGAACTTCGCATTTTATACCTTTGAAGGTTGAAATTTCTAGAACGAAGCTGCTTTTGAGAACATTTTATACGACATCACTCCCTATTTTCAAACATTGTGGATCTTTCTAGAAAATTCTATAACTTTATTTTTTCACAATTATTGCAATGCAAATATATTGAGGGCCTTAATCGAGATAAAAACTATCCTATCTTTTATTCATATCTACACGCCACCGACGATAAAACACATACAGTAGAAAAAAGGTCAAGTTAAAGGTAACTATGTAGATAGTATCGCGATCGGTCGCGGGAATAACCGAAGTACACCATGCAATTATACATAAGTATATAAACTTATAAAAGAATTAATATATTAAAATATTTGAGATGAAAACTATCCTATCTTCTAAGTTGGACCAAATTACATACGGTGTAAAAAATTTCATCATGATTGGTTCATTAGTTTCGAAGTTCATTCCGGACAAACACAGTGACACGGGATTTTTATATATAAGATTATTACTTATTGTTATTACTATCATTATTATCTATATTAGGAATAAATTAGATATTTTATTTAAGTACTAAAAATGTATACCTAAATAAATATTTAGTTATAATTGATAATACTTTAGCTCAAAAAATGATATTTTTATGAAAATACAGTTTCGAAAAAAAACATTTTGTATTTAGTAGTCCGAAATTATGGACATAACAATTTGAAAAACGGTATTATGAAGATATAAGCATGGTGGACACTCAGTTTAATGTAGTGTATTAAGCTGGGCATAAACGAGTTAAAAGTTAAAATTAAGTTAAAACATTAAGTTAATTTTAATTAAGTTAATTAACTCGTTACTTTTTTTTAGGATTAACGTGTTAATATTAACTTAATTTTATTTAAAAGTATCTAAATTAAGTTAATTTTAGTGCAAGAATAATGTAAATTATTAAATGAGGTTTTTGGTATATTTATAATTTACTATTTTAATATGAATTTCATGTAGACGAAAATAATATGAAAAATAACTTTAATAATCATTATATGGGCTATATTTTACTATTATATTTTTATAACATTGTTATTGTATAAACACTATAAACCTATGAAAATCCTAAGAATATTCTGTAAAAATAGTAAATATTATGAGAGCGAGTGTCGATGGGGGATTAATTACAAAACAACTGTGGTATAATTTCCAGTTTAATTTCATTATTCAACTAGCATGTGGTCTGTTCACATATCGTTAGAATTTATAATATATTGTTATTAGTTTATAACTTTATTGGCTTATTATATTTCTGTGAAAGTTTATTATTTCTTTATTAATTAATTAGTTATTAATAGTTATTAATTAGTTAATACTTTTATGTATCATTTTAAATTTTCCTAGTAATTTTCTTAAGCATAAAAATACTAATATTATGTGTGCAATTTTTAATTTTGCAAATTAGAAAATTTTAACTTTAAACTAAGATAAGTTACTTTTTTTTTTCAAAGTTAACTTTTAACATAATTAGTTAACGAAAAAATATAAGTAACTTTTAATTCAACTTAACTTTATTATTTTAAAATAACTTAACTAAACGAGTTAAAAAAATCGTTACTTGCCCAGCCTTGGTATTAAGTATTTAAAATGCACATTATACAAATCGTCATAAATAAAAATTTGATTACAAGTTTTCTTTAGAAAATTATGATATTTACCAGTTATTGGTGTAGTAAAAAATAATTGTCAGCATGCATACAATGATGACCATGAAGGTAGTGAGAGCAATTTGACCATATGTCATACCATCTACGTTGTATGATAGTCCAGAGTCAAACATTTTTACATCAGTGATACCCTTATCTATAAAACGTGTTATAATAATATAAAATAATTTCAAAATAATGTTTAGTTGAATGTATAATTTTAAGTTAATGTTTAATTTTAATTAATAAGTAAGAGTAACAGGTATATATAATACTTAAAAAAAGTTATTAAGAACAAAGATATAATTAAAAATTATATTAACTAAAAACTTACAAGAACTTAGTATTGATTTCATAGTTATAGCGATTTCATTTATTTCGTCCTCATATTTTGTACCACCTACTAAAACAATTTGATTTCTTCCATTCAATAGTTTACTCATATGAATAATAATTTGATGATTTTCATATTTTGATCTAATTTTTTCCATGTCCTTTTCAAATTCTTCGTTGAACTTTTGACTATTAAAAACTCTTGGGTCGTAATTTAATAAAAAGTAAGCTCCTAAAAAAATAAAAATATGAACCTGAAAGTCTTTAATAAAAAATTATGGAATCAGTTAATGGGAATATTGCCTTTTAATAGTATAATTATGTATTTAGAACATAATAAATAAAAAATTAGTTATATTTTTTTATTTTCATTTAAATATTTGCATCACTTGTATTGAACAAGAACAAATTAAGTAAAAAATAATTTTAAACTCGATCACAAATGTTTATGTGTATTAATCGTGGTCGTTAATATAGTTAGGCTGGTTCTAGGAATTTTTTACACCAGAGAATATAAACAAATGTACCCAAATTTTCAAAACAATAAATATGTACGAGTAGAGTATGATAAATAACTTTTATTTATTTAAAAAATATGCAAGTACAAACATTGCTTATTTAAACCACTTAAAACTTGATTTATTTTGATTTCATCTAGTCAATTGTATTCTTTTTCGATTGATAATAACGATAAATGTGTGAGCTTATTTTGGCCAATTCCGGATCGAAGATATGTTTTAATTAATTTGAAATTACTAAGGCTACGGTCACATTTTGTGATACTACCTGGCAATATAAAGTAAATGCGGATTACAATACTAATATTATGAAAAATATCTGTCATTGAATACTCATGTAATATTTCTAATGTGTTTAGATTTGATTGGATGATATGATCAGTTATGAAAACTAGTTAAAATCAACAACTTTTTCAGTTAATTCTGAAAATTTTAAATCATTATCATGTTTTATTGGTAAACCTATTGCTGCTTTAATCAGTATATTTTTCAACTAATTCAAATCCTGACAGAAAATTAAAATGAGTTTAAAATATGTTATTATCGTTATTATTCGATTACGATGTGCAACGATGTCTCGCGAGAGCGTCATGTTCATAGATCACATCGGCTTTCTATCAAAGTTTAAAAAAAAAATTCCCACGAATTGTGCTCAATATTACAGTATCGATTTATTATATTTAATCTGTTGTCATCTGTATTACAATTAAGGCTAATTCGAAAATATTTACATTTTTTATATTTTTATATGTACATTTTAGTAGTAAAACATTTTTCAAAATAAATTTAATTTTTTGTTTACAAGGCCTGTAATTAAAAAAATTACACCCTTCATAATTTGGAATATTTTATGTCCTTGTTAAATTCCCGGCTTTCCTATAGATCCGGCTTTACATACAGTACATTTTTCTATTACAAGTTTGATTATTATTGTCACGCTTTAAATAACATAATTTTTATATCTGTAATTAAAATTATTTCTTGGTTTTAAATTATATATTTGAGAATTGCAATTCAATTATAAATTCAAATTTGTTTTTAAAATTCTTAAAATGTAATTTTAACTAATTTGAAATAAAATACAGTTAAATTTAAACTAAATTATTGTATTATTATTTAGTATGTAGTGCAGTGGCAGATCCAGGGGGCAAAGGGACATTATTGCATATGCAACTAAAAATTGTAAATAATCTTGTATGATTATGAAACAAATGTCTATTTGACTTAGCTATGTTTTAAATGATTATTAAAAAACATGCAAACTCTAATAAGTTACTAGCCTTAGATTAATATTGAACTAAACTAATGCTGTAAATTTTTTTCCACTTTCTTCCCCCTCAAAAAAAAAATAAGCACTGGATCCGCCACTGATGTAGTGTCATTATAAATCTTACCGCAAATTAAACAGCAATGGCCAATTGGTTTCACTGGACTTATACAACCTAATTTATTATTGCAATTTTTGGAAGCCACTTTGCATACATATTCTAAAAGATGCTGAGTGCCGCACTCACACCCTGTATAATCATCGCAGGACGTAGACGTTAATGTAATGGCTACATCATTGTTGAGAGAAGAGCTCTTTAATTCTTGATCTCCAATATCCGTCAAAAGAAACTCATTGAGTTCATCTTGACTAAAAGTCTAAATCCACAATCATTATGCATTTATTAAAAATAAAAATAATACTATTAAATATTATTGGCTATTATATAAATCTGAAGATTATAATAATACGAGTATATTGATAATGTATTATTTATATTCAATCATTAATATCGTATTTGTACAATTGTATTGAATTATTTCAACAACAAATCATGTGTAATTTTAGAATGACAAATAACAATTATATGACATTAAATAAATATTGTTGTTTGCCGATTGATAAACGTTTCAACTTTCTCCAATTCTATTTAATTCTATTGCAATAAAATTCTAGTTTTGACGTCGTGTTATAGCAATAATTTAACTTAAATAATTAACAATATTTTAAAGGACATTTAAATCTAATAACAAATACAAACCAATTGATTTAAATTGTTAAGCTTAATGCATTATCGTTTGAAGAGTTGATATTAATTTGTTAAATATGTTTATATATACAGGCAGGTGCCCTTATTACAAACTTAATTTTCAGTACAGTATATAATTATTATATAATAGATAGAAGATAGCAATGTAAATTTACATATATATGCAAGCAATGAAACTAAATTTTTTAACTAGTAGGTTATTTAATAGTTATAATATTTGTGCGCTTACTTGATTTCCAAACTTCATAGATCCAATATTTATCGGAACATTTGGTACTATGATTGAAAATGAGTTACCAGGATTAAATGTTACGGTGTCGTGTTCACATGGTATTCGTTCTACGTGTGGCGTTGCTTGAGTAATATTATCATTTGACCAATTATCCGGATCGACCCATTCCATAGGGGTGTTTCGTTTGAATTTCACAGCTATGTATAATATATTAAAAAAAAAAGACTATGTAAATAAATCAGTCGTGATAATAAACAGATTTCATTAATTTATCATTTATTTTAATAGATTATGAAGTAAAAATTAGTTAAATCTCAAAATAGTAAGTAGTTATTATTTTGGAATTGTTTATTATAATATTTTTAAATTTAAAAAGGTTATTCATATAAATTGTAGTTGTAATATTTTTAATATTATTCGGGAGATAATTCATTGAATTCATAGACCAAATGCATAACTATAACTTAATAAATTATGAGGTTGCCACCGTAAATTTTATTATAAATAATGATAAGTTAAAATTTGATGTCTAAAAATAACTCGCATTATAGGGATATTCTTATATCCTAATTTATTTCAATGAATACGATCAATATTAAACTAAACAAAAAACATATTTTAACAAACTTAAATTATTCAAAACTATATTTTAATGTTTTATAATATTTATTTTTATAAAGGTAAACGTTACAAATTCTTAAAAATTCGTTTTCAAGACGTTTCTCATAGTTTTATCGTAAATATTAAATTAATATTATTTTATTAAACATACAAAAAAAAATCTATACATATGTGCTACCATTATAGTACACTAAAATTAGTTATTTAGCTTTTTTTTATAATTCTCACACATTTACTACTAACTTTACTTATTTCATCATACATATTTTCTAAAAATTAATTAGTGTATATACAGTATGACCTCGGCACTTCTTTCCAAATACTTATTTTATGCTAAAAAAAAAAAAAAATACTCTAAAACATTGATGACCATATACTTATATGCGGAACAGTATTATTTATTATTAATAAATTTACCCATAAACAAGTCTTCTTCTAATAAAAGTATAAAGATAATATGCGGTTTCATATATATAAATATATATTTTACTATTCTGCATGAAAATTATTATCTTTAACCTATTGTATGGAGCGAGTAAGGTACAATGGTGCACGCATGTACTATTCTCTTTATAACTGCCATTTTATTGTTTTTTTCTCGAATACTTCATTCATAATTCTTTATACTATATACATTACAACTACAAAAAAAGAACATTGTAGGTTAAAGTTATTTTCCCTTGATAACATTATAATATTTTTTATGAAAATAAGGATTATCTTTGGTTATTATCTCTTGAAAATTAGTATGACCGTTGATTTTATAATGTACAAATACTCCATCTCATTGAAAAAATTAGAGAAATATTTCCTTGGCACTCCCACTTTTGAATTTTGAAACGAAACTAAGAGTTTTTTTTTTGTGCACCATTTGTGATGATTTTTGCTAAAAGTCTCAAGATTCGTGCTTTGAAACTTTTTGAGATACAATAATTTTTCTTCGGAGGTACTGGGTAAATGTTAGCACTAATTATATATTACTAATATTGTATTTATTTGTTTTGATATAGTAATACAATAGAATCTTTACCCCAATTTTCTGTGAATTATTCAAAGCAATTATTATGGTTTATGTATATATTATACTATAATTATACAATCGATTATACTATGTCATATTTTGTATGGACACATTATAGTCAATATTAAAAATAAATTAATTTTTTCATAACAACATATTTTACTTTTTTCAATGTAAATATCTCTACTATCATATGTTAAGCACTAATTCACATAAAAATAAGAAAATAAAAATGTCAATAATGTAATAATAATTAAAAAAAAAATGTAATTGTTCTGTAATACATTTATATAAACTATTATATAACAATATCAAATAAATGGGAAAGTATTATAAAAAAAATATATTAAAACAATATCAGAAATGTTATTTATAACTTAAGCGTTGAAATTCAATAGTGAATAGTAATAAAAAAATCTTCATACGACCAAAATGGGTTTTCAGAATAACTAAACATAAATTATTTTAACTGAAAATATGGCTTGTTGATTATTATAAATTTCGAAAGTTCGTATAACTACTTTCCAGCGCCCCCTAAGAAAAACGTTTTTATTTCGAAAAGTTCAAAAGCACAAATGTTGAGGTATTTAGCACAAATCAGCAAAAATCAGCTAAAATCATGCACAAAAAAGGCTCTTGGTTTCGTTTCAAAATTCAAAAGTGGGGTTCCAGAGAAATGCTTCCAAAAATTAGTAATATGTAACGTAACCACTAGACTGAGACTGTAATTGTTTGCATAGAAAAAAAGAAATAGTGATTTTCTCTATTTTTTAAATTTTGTTTTTATCAACTTAAATTAAAACGTTTACAGCGACGTTTAGTGACTGCGTCCTCGTAGATGCGACAAATTTTTCAATAGAATATCGTACCTGTTTTTCTAAAACCAATGGTATTCAGTGTTGAGCTCAAATAAATATATTTTCATTTAGATAAAGATAAAGATAGTAAATCAAAAATCTTATAAAAGATAAAAGATAATAATTATTCATCAAGATAAAAATTAGATACATTTTTAAAAAGTAATGATTTTTATATTAAATTATCAAAAAAAAAAAAAAATTATTAGGGCTATGACGTATAAAATTGTTATACTTGTTTGATGCGTTTGAAATATGTTTCGATATTAAAGTGTTTAATTTGTTTAGAATAATAAAAAAAAAAAAATTAAAAATTTGATAGTATATATTTATTTCTGAATCTAATTTAAGTGTTGACGCTTTCCATGGTGAAACCAAACGTGCTGAAAACCCCTAACGAATGCTTATTAGTTTTGGATGGGTAATAGGTTTATCCGTAGGGCATTTAGTGCATCACAATATTTTACAATTTATTAATATAAAATGATGGAAAAGAAAATTGCTCCACGTGGATCAAAGGATTTATATTCAAGAAAATCTTAATATTGTATATCAAGAAATAGTAAGTGATGATGATGATTGTTAATTGTTAGCCAATATAAAAAAGTTGTCATTATTATTTATGATTATTATTGGTGAATCAATATAATAATATTTATATATATCTACGTTAAATAATAGCTAAATTTGGTCAATAATTATTAGAACAACAGTTCTCAAACCTCCCTTAGAAGGCGTAAGCACTTATTAGGGAAGGCGCAAATCAAACATTTATATTGTATATTGCACTTTTATATATTTATTTTTCGATCGACAATAATTTACTTATTATATTTAAATAAGAAAAAAGTGTTTTATTAGGAGGTGATTATATTTTTATTTGTTTTGGAGATGCGTGACTCAAAAAAAGTTTGAGAACCGCTGCATTAAGGTGTAAATGTTAGTCGAAATTATGAAAAACGAATGGGTACTTTTTCAATAATATTTAACTACACATTTTCACTATTGAATATTATTGTTGTAACCAGGTGATGGACTGAAAAATCCTCGAGACATATAAGTAGATTAAGTTTATTTTTCCATCTATACAAAATAATAAATAGTTGATATTTTTATTTAAATAAGTCTTAACACTGATGGTACTACGTATATTATATAGTGTTGTGTATTATGAATGGTCAGAAAACTAACTTTGTCCCGTACACCCGCCCGCATCTTTAGACGATGTAGAAACGACTATGTTGGCGTTGGGCTCCAAAATCAATTGACCGTTGATGGGCAACACCAGCTCGCAAACGTCAATGCCGGTGGACGGTAAGACGACTGGCACAACTGTGTCTTCTTGGAACACGGTAATGTCCACGGATGAAGGGACGTGATTTGCGTCCCAATTTTTAGGGTCTTCGAAGTCCACGTTGGGCGTCCACTGTTTCATAATACCGTTAGCGGTACCTGCGAAGTGATAATAATGCAGCTATAAAATAATAAAAAATAAAAAGTAACGTTTTGAATCTTATTCGCGTGCTCGAACTCCGTGTGTTGACCTGAAAATGATAGAAGAACCGCTGCAGCAGCCACGACCATCGCCCACGGCATTTCTTGGGTCGTAATATTTATAAGTGATTCTGCCGTCGTACAATATAGCTGTAGTTTGAAAATTAAAAGTCGGCAACATATAAAATGATCTACTGAACACATAAATCATTTCGGTCGCTGCTTGTGGGTGTAACAGTCGGCTTCGGTGTTTAGGCCTTGTAGTATATGATAGTACTCCCCTTGGATCGTACATGCATGCACCAGTCGTTATAATAATTGACGTTAAACACATGCCAAACGTGGCCGGTTGACTAAACGAGATAATCAATTTAAATATATGTTTCACGTATGGCAATGCAATATAATATATTATAATAGTGTTTAATAAACATGAGAATAATATTTATTTCATTCTCATTTTAATTTGTTCGAATGCTCCGAGGAAAAATCAGTTTTAATTAGTTTTTTGTTTAGTGATTACAATATACGACATATAATTATAGGTAGGTATACAAGAAAATTAAACATGTCATAAATTGTAATCTTAAAGAATAACTATAAGTATATTTATTTAAGGATACTTAGAATCAACCAAACTAAACGCCATATTAATATTACTAAAAATTGTAGTAGCTCATTTTCATGATATATAACTGTGAGAAATATTTATTTCAATAGTTCAATTGGAAGAACTATTTTTATTAAATTAAAAAGAATCATTAAAAGTTCTTAATAAAACATATCTAAAGTAGCTCCTATCTAAAAAATTCGAATTTATTTTATTAGAAAATTATTTCTTAGATATAATACAAGCCGAATAAATACAGAAATTTAATTATGAAACAAAATCACAGAGTAAATAATAAAAATATCAGTCTTACGAGTGTAGGCTATTTGTAAAATTTTATAAACAATTATTTTCATTAGTTTTGTTGGTAACATTAATACATTTAGAATTTCTTTATGGTTTATTTAGACAATAAATAGTAAATTTACTTATGCGTTTTGATTAATTTAATCCATGGAAGTGATATGATTTACGACTGTTTAAAAATTGGATAACTGTAAATTATAGAGTTTACAGTACAATAAATAAAATATAAGTTATTAAAATTCTAATTCAAAATTGAAATATTTTGTTAGTAGATATGTATTATTTTCCAGGAATTAATGTTGTACAACTAATTGTTTTTTTAGATATACTTATAATTGTACTAATATAATATAATGTACTTGTATATTATTTGTACTTGTTTCAAGGTAGGTAATAATGAAATAATAATAATAATAACTGATGGTTTTTATTGATATATGTTTTTTAATTTTTATCTAAGTAAATAAATTATTATGAATAACATATTAAATAAATAATTAATAAATAAATAAATATTTGAAAATAATTACAAGTTCATAATATTAATACAAGTATGGTCTTTTTTTTATAATAAAGCAAACCTTATATAAGAAATGTCTATATTTTCTTATTTAATATAAGAGTTGGATTATCTTTAAGACACACAATGTTCGTAAATATAATATTTTAAAATGTAAACAATGTTAAATTTAAATATTAATTTCAAACATACTTAACACGATCTATAAATTATAATTATATATTGGTGTAGGTTCAAACATATTAAATTTATAATAAAATAGTACACTATGACGTACAATGCAAACGTTAATATCTTATTACATCATTTACATTAAAATAAAGACATCACGGAAGTAAAAATAAATGTCTGTAATTTTAATATCATATCAATATTGATGTTATACAGAAAATAGTATAATATATTTTTGTTTACACGGGAAATGCTAGTTTTTTAATATTTTATTATGTTTTAACCATATATAATATATTTTCAATAACTACTGCTTAACATTAATACAATTAAATAATAAATAATTATTGAAATTAGTAATTATACAGATTATGTACTTATAATAAACTAATTGATAAAACCTCTACGAGCAGAGTATTTTAAATAACAATGTAACTAAAATTAGATAATCGTCTTAGTATTAAAAGTATTTGATAATAAATATAGTTGCAGAACGTTGCTACGAATTGCTTATTGGTAACTATTTTAGGGTATATCAGATATATATATATATACCATAACTATAGTAGTATTAAGTTATCAAAACAATTTATTTTATATTTCTTTTATTGTGCTTTAATAAATATAAATAAATTAACAAATAATCATACTTAACATAAAATAAATGTATCAAACATACCGTTCAAGAGTATAACTACTTTTAAGTATTTTTTTTTTATTAATCTTTGGTAAATATTTATACGCTATACAAAATTATACCCTAAATATCTAAATTACTATTTATTTTGGTAATTAAAAATAAGTTAAATAGTAAAAGACTAACATACAAGGCATTATACGAATAATGTGTTCTATCAAATAATTTTTGAAAAACTAATATGAAAATCATGAACTAAACCGATTAATTATTTGAAATAAGATTTACCAATAAGTTGATCCAATTTAATTTTATCGATTGTTCGATTGATAACATTTATAATGACTACTCATTTGAATTTGTTTATTAAGAAAAGTTGCTTTCATCTAAATCAATGTTCATATTTGTCTGTTTTTAGCGTAAAACTATTGATTTTTATAGCCGTTTTGATTTATCGATTATTATTTATATTTACAAAATATATCAGAGGTAGGTAATAGTGCTGATCAATCATATGGATGCTTATTACTATTGGATAACGGGTGAACGCACAACGTTTCGTTTAATTAACACGATTATTCTTACAAAAAGGACCGAAGTATAAATTTATATTTTATTATTAATTTATTTATTTATTAATTTATATAATTTATACGAACATTTACAGTATTTACTTACAAAAGAAACCTAGTTTTAAGAATAATTTTTCGAATCCGATGTCTACTGTGGATTCACGGATAAAAATCGTGACGACGGAAGAATGATGAGTATAACGTGTAAGACGTATAAAAGACGATATGATGGGGAGAACACTGTACACATACCGGTCTCGTAGGACCTACTACCACACACTGGTGCAGCAGCAGTGGTACAAATGTTACGTTTATTGCGAAGGACCGTTACGTTTCCTCCTGCTGGGCTCGTCGTCCGGCTGGCTACCGATGTGGTTGTGCTCGTGCGTAGCGGCCGGTTGCGCCGCGGACAGATCCGCCGACTTGCTGACCAACCCGTACGTCTTGACCTTGGAGTGACCCTGTATAATGAGATACATCGGCCTGCCGGCGACCACAGCCGATTGCTTGTAGTGAGAGAACAGCGGATCCGTGGTCGGCGGCGCCTGCGTCGTAGTGGTGCTGGTCGTCGTGGTGCTGCTAGTGGTCGCGGGGCGGCCGGTTGTCACCGTGGTCCGGTCCACTTCGTTTTCCAGCAGTACCTTGATGACGGAATGCGACAACACGGGCCGCACGCTGGACATCGGCGGCGGCGCGCGGACCGCGGGCGGCTGTTTGCTCTCGGCCGCTGAGTCACCGGCATCCAGCGACGGCGTCATGTCCATTGGTTCGACGGTGGTGGTGGCCGCAACCGATGTGGGCCTCTGGTACGGTGGCGGCGTGAGCATCGGTAGTGGCGGCTTGGGCATCGGGTAATGATAGTAGCCCGTCGCCATCTGCGGCCTCTTGTGCACGTACTGCACGTACGCGGCGGCGGTCGGTTCTCTTTTCGAAAAGTCCGTCAGGAAGAACCGGCGATTGTAGTTGACGGTCATCGGCGGCGACGGAATGGTTGACGACAGATGGCCGCGGTTGGCGGACGCCGGCGGCGATGGTGGAGGTTTCCAGTAGTGCACTTTGTCCAGCACCGGCGGCAGGTAGTCAAACGTCGGATCGTTCTTTAGCGGATCGCCCCGGCCCAACGGCGTCCACTCGTCGAAATCCATTCGCGGCGAGATCACGTTCCGGCCGTCTTTTACTCCGTTCATACCGGACACTGAAACTAACGCGATTATTATTATTATTACCACTCATTGCCACTACATAGTAATACTTTTTGACGGTTTATAATTGTTAGTAAGGCTGCGGAAAGAAGTCGACTAGTTTTTTTTTTTAATTCACAATTTTTCAATTTTTTTCCGCTTTTTAACCGATTTCAGAGGAGTCTATGCGTAAACAATGCTTCTCCTCTGCTACCATTGTCTATTGATGTATGATACGCACAACATAAAACATACATAGCACAGATACTACACCATACAGAATTAAATATATATAGATTTCGGTCAATAAAACTCGTTCATCTCAGTTTATCTAGAGAAATGTAAGTTAACATTTTAAAGTCACTTCAATTTTTATGAACTTGTAAGAGTTACAAGTTTTATATTACAAGACTATAATTTATAAACATTAGTTTGGTGGAATCCAGGAGTAGTGCGTTCAAAATTTGCGCAATTATGATTTCCATCATTTTTTTTTTTTTTATTAAAAACAATAGTTTGTATAAAATAATTATAATTTTATATTTTTGACTACTGATAAATTTATAACGAAAAAATATTAACTTATCCTGACAATAAAATCAACTGTAGTTGCATGTAGTAGAAATAATTTAACTCTTTGTTAGAGGTTACTTTAAAAAAAAAATTTCATTAAGAAACTTATTTTAAAGTTATTGCACTTTTTAACTTAGTTTTAAGTTTTAAACTTTTCTCGAGTTTTAGTATTTTACTATACTAACATTGTTACGATTAATTTATGCAAGCATAATTCTTCTCCGCTGTAAGCCAAAACTGCTAAAAATTATTGAATAGGAATATACGGTCATATTAGACATCTTACTACGTCTACTATCAATCATCACGCATGGAATATCAGTAGACATATTATTATCATTTTAATAGAAGTATCTGACATCTTAACTACGCGATTATTCTTACAGTGTATCATTTACACCTGTCATTTGGACTACCGCATTGATCAACGCTAGTTTTTCTAATGTTAGGTGCATACTTAACGTATGTTATAAACAACATTACGTTAACAATTTGATAATTATAATTTTAACGAGATTCCGATCTAATCTTTGATGTCTCCTATATCAGAGAACTCAAGAGTATCTAGTCGCAGTGACGCACACAGGAAGGGTCAGGGATGTCGACTGACACCCCTCAGAGAATAGGTGAATGACTAGTTCTGTGTGAACTTGTATGAATATTTGTTTAATTTAATACTAACCAATTTTTCAGCTATTGAAATCAACATACTAATTTACTAGAATTAAAGTGTCATATGAGAATAAGTAGTAGGGCTCAATCCTAAAAATTGTGCTATACAAATATACAATTATAAATTAATACCCAGACAATTAAATAATAATTAATATTAGGTTTATTTTAAAAAATTTTATTTTTAGTATCTTTGTTAGAAAAAAAAACCAAAAACACCTAAAATTAAGAGTTATACTATACCTAAACTCAGATTTTACTGGTGGAGTGGGTGGGTTATTTTATAATATAACATTATATTATATTATAATATAATATATATTTTATAATATGTAATATATATTTTTAACACCATTGTCAAAAATCTACTGTGCGCCACTGTCTAGCCGAATATATCTTGGTAATTCATTAAACAAATTTATCGACGGACATTCTCTACCTTCTAACGAATAGCGAATTACAAAAAACGATACGGTACGTCGTAACATACACCGAACTCTATGTTGACTTCATTTAAATGGCACTGCAGATAGCAATAAAACGGATAAATATATTACATTAAATTGCACTGCTGCACCGTAAACGCGAAAACATAATTCAGATGTTCCGGCGAGACCGTGCGTTTTTATTAATTTCAATCCAATAGGTACCGTTAGGTAATAAAAGTCAGCAGACGAGTTCTCGAATATAATATAATATTTTAGTGCTTTATTTTCTAAGACGATATTTTTATTTTTTTAAGGAAACATGTAATTGTTTTCAACATAAGAAAACGCATTACAGAAGATTAGTTGAAATTTAGTACACCATTTTTTTTTCTATTAACACTATTACCGAGGTTTGTGTTTACGATTTTAATTTTACTTTCCGTACATAACACAGCAGTGTGCGTGTACGTGTACGTGTACGCGCGCGCGCGTGTATGTGTGTGTGAACGTATTCGGTCAAGTTGTAACCTATATTGCCTATAGTAGACACTAGGTAATATCGGAACTAGTTTCCCATCGTTTCCGCCGGCTCGCCACAAATTAGTGATCCGGCCGTGCGTCCATTAGGTGGTCCACACAATCACTACCGCCAAAACCGACTGTGCCTCGGGGGCCGCAACCAACTACCGTCACACGAATAAGTAAAATGGAAAAAAAAAGGAAGAAAAAAAAACGTTCTTTTGACCGATCGTAAACCGATTCGCTTTTAATATTATACTGCATGTGGTTAGTACTGCGTGTGTATTGTCTATAACGAGTACATTTATTTACGATTTGCAAATGTACGTGAGAGCCATTGGGAAGATCGTTTTTCATTTTTTTCTCATACCACCTGCAACGTAACCTCGGGGCGAATTTTAGTTATGAGTAACGTTACAAACTCCTCCCACATAATCGCTTTGGTATAGTAAAATAATTTTGAGTGTTATGCTATATGTTTCTAACAAGTTTTTAATTTTAGACAATTAACGTAGAGCTAATAGCCATAAGCTTTACACGTACTTAGAACACAGCATGTTGTTTAGGTTCATTATTGCCACTATTGCTGTCCTTTATTGCTAATCCTAAATTGAATAAATATTTATAAAAGTTATTCTGAACAATACCTAAGTACTTTTACACTAGCTAACGTTTAGGAATAAACATTATTTAGTTATAGACTTTTAGTAAATACTTCGGTTATTGGTGAGATTAAAAATTATATTTACCTTTAAACTACATAATATTATGTATATATTATAAAGTTATACCGTACACAAAAAAAATAATAAAACTTCAATATTTTAAGAGTTGAATATTGATTTATAAACATTACATTTTAAACTTAAAGAATTATTTTAACAAGTTCAAATGCTATTAAAAACTATAATAGATATTCATTAAGACTAATTACATAATAAAACTAATTCATCATCTCTTCAATCAACCTATGATGCAACTCCCCGGATTTAATCTCCCCGGGGGATAGTGGATAGTCCTAAACAGACTCTGAACAGAACATGGACGCACTGGACTCTGGATGTTATATAGATGGGGATTAAGGCCTACTCCACAATGTGACTGTGGGCATCAAATTCAATACTCGAGACATATTATGTAAGAATGCCCAATCAGAAAATTCCCCCGGGGATTAGCAGAGCTCAACAAAGTTACCACGGACGCAATTAAATGGCTTGAAGAATTAGATATTAATATATAATTAATCTACGTTCAAATCTGGAGTATTATTCTATTGTATTGTATTATTATTATCTAAATGTTTTTCAATTGTTTATTTATGTAGTTACCTTTTCTTTTTTTTTAAATTTTTTTTTAATTTCATAATTTATAATTTTCATAGTTAATTTTGTGCAGTTAATATGTATTAATAACGTCATACGAATAAGTAAATAAATTAAAACTAATGTATAGCATTTTGTAAGATTTTAATTGCCAAGAAATATACACATTTCGCACCAGTTCAAAATATTTATTAATTTAAAATAATAATTTTCTTTTTTACTTATCGAACTTTCAGTTTATAATATAGTATGTCCGATTTTATAGAAATGTCATCGTAATAATTTAACAGTTAATAAGCATACACTTTTCGCAAATCTTCTTCAAAAATAAAATTATGCAAACTAATAACGCAAGTTAGGTTAAGAACATTTATTAAGTAATATCTATTTTATATTAAAATCGATAAATTGGATTATTTAATAAAAGAATTTAGAAAGTTTGGAGCTTAAATATTTTGAACAGTATTTTCGAAACAATAACAAATATGAATTGTTATAGCTTTCTCGATACTTATAAGAATTTAAAATAAATAGAGAAAATTAAAAGACGTCATCAATTATTAATTTTAAAACGAAAAGTAAAATGCACCAAAGTTATAACGTGTATTATACGTAATTATTTTGAAATTAACTTTCGATTTAATGTGTCTAGAATTTAAATGACAATGTTTATAGAAGGTGTTTGGAATACAAATTTAATTTTAATGCACATAAACAATACTTGCTTTTCCTCCTATAATTATTTATGTGCACATTAAAACTATTCATAAAATGGGTGATGGTTCGTTTTATAAATTATTGATATATTTCGGTTAGAAATTTAGAAAATTTAATCATAGTTTTTTTTTTTTTTTTGTATGTATTATGAATTATGAACTATCAGTTTTATAACCATTTTTATAATTACGATTATTTTTAAAACATTCTATCTTATTGTTGTTAATAGGGATAATATGTTCTGTATCACCCATCTGAAAATTAGAGATTGTATAAATTATTTAACCGGTAATATTTAGTTGGTTTTAGCGACCAATCGACTACTCCTAAATATCATGTCCTCAAGTTTGAATGTTATTTACATAATTTAATATATTTTTATACATTTTACTCTATTATAAATTTTATTAATAAAAAAAAAAAAAAATTAAATATTTATTTCGATACGAAATAAAATCAAATATAAATATGAAACTTATTCAAACCGTTTAGAATGTAATTCTGGTTGACTATTTTTAATTTTAATTTTTTTTTAATTATTTTTTTTAAGTTTTCCTGGTAAGATCATTCAACTTATTGAAAATGTTAATTAACATTTTTTACGGTTTACCAATTGATATTTATTTACAATTACTTATAAAAAATTACAAAGATTTAAATCGGTAAATATATAATGGTATAATAGAATAGAATAAATAAAAATGAATTATATGTGTGGAGATAGTGCATTATGAGTACGTCCACACTTGAGCCACCGGAAGGTAGACTTATCGTTGAGTTTGAAGAATA